GAGGCAGATGGCAATTCCCATTCACACCTGCTAGATAATTTAGTCTTCAAAGACCCAGAATCTGGAGCAGTTCATGCATTTGCCAAACCAGTGATAAGCATTTCACCATATCTCCTTAATGGGTAATGACAATTTTGTTCTTTTTTTGGAGAATCTAAATTTGCTTGAACAATGGAACATTAAATTGTAACCAAAAACCATGTAAGACCCACCCAGACGTCTTAACCTGAAACAACAGAAAAAAAATAAAAATAGAAATCACCGTACCTTACTGATTGTCGTGAACATATAAGGTGATGTTCAGACTGCAGGCCTTAATACTCAATTGGTGATATACAATTTTTTTAATGTAATCGTTCACATTACATATGAATTGCAACCTCTGTCTGTCTCGTGTGTGGACCAAAGTGTCATCTATGCACAGAAGAGACGTCATTCATCACAACGTAGTGGTTTTAGTAGTAAATATGGTTCAGCGTGGAGGGGCTCATCTTTTTATCATCTCGTATCTATTGAGGAGCGATGCAAGAGGAGGTAGAAATATTTTGGGAAATGAGGCAAGGCTTTTTGATCTCCTCAATTCATGGAGATGTCTACTAATGATGACGTCATATCATTGCCGAGCAGAATTAAGGAACCATCTGCATGACTGAATTACTGCTATCACCACCAACGTCGACTTTATGGGTCTTGTTTCAAGTGAGATTAGATTAAAGCCAAATATGAAGTCAATACTGTTATTCAAAACGACTTTGCAAATTTCCAGAGAATTGTCAATCTCCCTCTCAAACACTTTCTTCCGCCTGTACAGAGCACATATTTGGCTTTTGATGACACATAGGTGGGATACATGTGACGTGTCCATTCATATTCAGGTCGCATTCCAAAAAATCTGATTTGTGTCACATTTTAAAATGACACAGGTCAGATGTGAATAAAATGGGCGGCATTTTTCACAGCCCCGCTTTGTCTAGCGGAGATGTCGGCGCTGTTTGACATTCTGCATTGGTGCAGCTGGATGGATGGCTGCTGGAGCTGAGGATGAGGAGAGAAGAGCGTCGGCATGGAGCGCAGATGCGAATATAGAGTCGGCGCTTGGAATTGAAGCGGAGAAGTGAACCAATTTCTTTTTTTTTTCACTGGACTCTACAGCATCTTGTTTCCTTGCAGATGCGAATATAGAGTCGGCGCTTAGAATTGAAGCGGAGAAGTGAACCAATCTCTTTTTTTTCACTGGACTCTACAGCATCTTGTTTCCTTTCAAACTTAGCTTGTAGCAGACGTCTGCACATTTTGAACATAACCTCACTGATCCGCTGGTGAAAGGACACTTTGAGTCTCTCCTCTTTCATCTAGAACTGCTTCAACAAGCAAAGGGTATGCAGGAATTGTGATTAGGATTGTATGACTGTCCGCGTCTTATGTTATGTGTTGTGTTATCTTACCGTATTTTGTTATTTTATGTTAAGTGTTCTGTAAAGCACTTTGTTACAGCTGCAGCTGTTGTGCTATATAAATAAAGATGTATTGTATTGTATTGTATTGCATTTGACCTCAACGGTTTTTAGACACGAGTGATAAACAAACACACAGTTGGTACACACATTTATAATTCTTGTTGGGGGAGAGATGGCCTTTCTCTTCCTCCGCGCGTCCGTTAATTTCAGATGGTGAGGATGTTGGCTATCCAAATACAGGCTGGAGAGGATGAACAGTACCTTCAAAGGTTTTATTTGCAGAATATTCCGGGCAACCATGGTTTACAGACAATGGCTGCAGATCACGAGTGCGAATGTACAAGGGATTCACAACATATTTATATGATCAGAAGGGCGATACCGAAACTTATGGTGTGGCATTGGAACTTTAGTTTCTCCTAAACCGATTCTTAGCTTGTATCAACTGCTGCATTCCGATGGCCTGTGCGTCTCCACAAGGTCTCCAGTAAGGAGTATACCAATATTAACTGATGATTGCTTCAAGGACGCAAAGTTTTGCTGCAGGCATGGGAAAGTTATACAGCATGACTAAATATGGGCAGAAGACACAGTTCATTCTTCCTTAATTAGAATGATCAAACCTATGGTAAACAATCGCTAGACTCAATATGATTACGATATCTGCTGACCAGGGTCGTTTTTCCACACCGTTGTCTGACAAAGTCTAACAGCACAAAATGTCTGAAACAAAGTTTGGCTGAGCTATTTTTCCTTTTTCCAACCACAACCTTAAGTTGGACATAGAAGTCACTTAGGAAAGTTGTTAAGTGGCTCTTGTGGAACACAAACAACAACAAAACACGGGAAAACGTTGATCCCCTCCCACCACCAGTCATTCCCCAATCCCGGGGGAAGAAACGGCACAGTTAGACTCATCAACAGGTGTCCACCAACCCCCACCACTGGTCGCAGAGTTTTAATTGGGCTTTGAGGTTTTTTTTAATGGTTACTCAGCTCCAGTGTACCTTGCTGGTAGATAATGAGGGCCAATAATGATTCCTGAGCTTGAGGGGTTAATGGTATGTAACCAATAGATCTGCTAATTACATGTTACAAACTATTTTTCAGACTCTCCATCTGCACAACCCTCACAGTGAGCTCAAAATTACTCCGCATAGATTATCACTATAAAGCAAGTTTCCGTAATGACGGGTTCATATACATATTTCTTAGCGTGCCAAACGCCATCAACGGGAACCGGGGGAAAATGAAACACTTGTTAATGTGGAGGTGATATTCACATTGTTGGCCTCCCAGAAAAAAAACATGTAAAATAATCGAAATCAACATATGAGAAATGTGTGATTGTTCTGTTTCTACTCCTAACAAAGGCGTTTTCTGAGGAGCGTTTACACTCTAAAGCGAGAGCGAGGTGTAAATTGCATTGAGAAGCCAACACGTTCTTGGTGAGTCTCGGGTGAGAAAGTTCTTTGTGCGTTCAGACGGAAAGTTGTCAACATCAAGGCGTCCAGCAGGCTCAACTCTCCCACCATCAGTTATTTGGGGAATACAGTAATCACGCAGCCGTCAAATGCACGCAGAAGACGAGAGAGACAAGCACCATGTACTCTTCTTCTCCGTAAATTTTTATTAAACTTACCTTAATTATAAAACCGTGTTCATTATAAATCCAAAAACGCCGGCCTCTGAGGGCCCTGTGGATTAATAAGGACAGCGGTGTATTTTAAGCCGTAAACTCAGCTCCTCACTGTCCTTAATCTCCTTCCTACTTCACAAGGCCAAATTAACACCTCTCCTCAGCTCTGACGGGACCTCATTAGCCAACTTCCAGGGAAAGAAAGAACAGCAGAACGAAAAGAGGAGAAAAAGGAGGGAAGCGACCAATGACAGTCACCAGCTCTGGGATTAACCCTTTCTCCTCCTCCACAGAACTCCACAGAAAAACTAGGTCGGGTTTCTAATCAGTCGCCTGGTTAGCGATAATTAGACGGCGAGATTGGACGAGAGCAGAGAGAGAAAGTGGGTGGGGAACACTGAAATGAATAAGAAAAGAGAGAAACCTGTCATGTCGCAAACACTTCAAAGGGGTTGACTTTTCCTTTAGAAGTGGCATGATGAGGGTCCAAGTACCACGAGGCGTTCCTCTGGGCCTCCCAAACTGGGATGCATTGAAGGCTGGAGGGTGTAGAAGCCGGGACCCAGTTCTAGATTCGTTTTCGCAAACACTCCAGGACTTTTATGTCCTGCACCACCTGTATGGTGCAGCTGCGGGGGAGCATCAGCCTGTCCCAAAGCACAGAGCCAAACAAGCCATCCAGCTCCACCCTGTCGACGCACTCTGCCCCTGCAGCAGCAGGTCGAGGTCCCTGGGCTCACGCTGAGGTCGCAGACTACCGCTGGGTAAAGTTCACAAGCTTCTGCAAGCTGTTTGACATTCCCACTACGGTCAAAGTGTATCAGACAACACTAGAGGATTCTATTATTATGGTAGCGGAGAAGCTTATGACACCTCACAATCAAAATAACAGCTGAAGCTGCCTCTGTCAACAAGCAGAATAGAAGACAGTGAAAGTTAAACGGGAGGTAGAAAGGCACCGAGACAGGCCTGCAGCGAAAAAGCAAAAAAACCAAATAAGTAAAATAAAATAAATAAAAAGGTGAGGGTGTGCAGGGGAATCATGGCTTATTATCAGTCTATTTTATCTATGGAACACCACTAGGCTCCCAGTTGTCAGACATCAATAGTGCTTAAATTAATCCTATGGGTTCCCGTTTGCACAATAAAGATATGGAAGGCAGCTTCTGATATTTGTGCAACTTTACAATTGGGGTAATTGAATTAGCGCACAAATCAGCCACCATTGCGGCATACAGTATTGAACGTGGTAGCTGTTGCCGGGGAACCTGGCTGCTCAGACAGAACCAATTATAAAGAATTCAAAAGAAGCTGCCAATAATCACTTCCAAGAGAGGTGAACGATCCACACAGAATGCTGTCATGTTTACCGTTGATGGGGGGGTGTTCAGGTTAGCAACCAGCTGGAGTTTGCAGGGTAGAGAAACACTGGAAACATATTTGTGGTATCATTTCCATAAGTGTCTGCTTTGCGGACCATAACGCAGCACGCAAATGTGATTTATGACCTTGGTTTAATGGCTGGAGCAGAGACACGGTAGGTATCAGATGACTTTTTCAATATGGCACCGCCAGACAGGGGGCACAGTGAATGCACCATCACAACAGGAAATGAGGGCTTGTCTCGGGAAGAAAATATGAGAAGCAAGATATCTGATCATCTAATGGCAGATAGATGCTACTTCACTTTGACAGAAAAGGCATCAGTCAATAAGCACCCAATGAGCAGGAACATGAAAAGTATGGCATGGATTTCTCCATCCTATCTATTAAATCATTCCATCTAGAGAGAAGCACAGTGGTCTCGGCGCTGACGGTATTCAGTGGAGATTTTCCAGAAAAAAAAAAAAACGTGCATTTTAAAAAAAATCTGAACAACTGTTTTGTGAAATGGTTTGACTCACCTGGGCTTGGAAACTCTTGAGAACTGGTGCCACCATCTCCCGGACTTCCTATGAGCAGAGATAAATAGAAGACTTTGCATCATAGTTTATTGGTTGTTCTCTATATTTGCCCTCACTACATCACGCGTGGTGTGTGTCTTTGTGGCTAAACCTGCAGGGTTTCTGCAGACATGTTTCAAAAGTGGGGCTTTCCAGTAGCTTGCGTTAAAAGCTCAGGATCCAGACTGGGTGAGCTCCCACAACCCCAGGTAAGGGGATTGGGCTGCCAGCGATGACAGCATGATCCTGTCCTAAACGGCTGTATTTTACTGATGAGATTACAGCGCTACACTGCGTATTTCGGCTGGGAAAAGGGCACGCTGCCGAGTGGAGTCACAGCATACGGCTTGCAAGATCCATTTATTAAAAATAAGGAATATTTCCTTTTGATTTCAGCCTGGATTTCACAGAATGATCAGAGAATTCTTTTTTTTTTTTTTTTAATCTTGACAGTGTTACCAAGGGAGATGCTTTCTGGTGTCATTATTAAAGTCAAATTTATCACATCTTATTGCCATAATACACTACAAAATAGAAGTGAACGTTGAATGTGACCTTCCGCAGCTTTCATTGCATTTATGCATAAAACAAATGCAGCTCACATGTACATAAAAAACACACACACACACTTCCTTTGTTCTTTGTATAAATGTCAGTACCGCCTGGTAGAAGTCATGATTGTAGCCCTGGTATCGGAGGGCAATATAGGAGTTGGCTTCACCATCAGGGCTTACACGTATCCCCAAGGTGCCAATCTATACTGTACTAATGCAGTTTTTATAAAAGAAAAACTCTCTGGACAAAAGAGTCTGAGTTGCACTGACATCTAATTTTGTGCGTTTGTGTGAGTGTGTTTGTGTGTATCTCACCTCAGGTACATTTCTCCTGAACTCCCTGTTCAGTTCTAGCAGATGCTTATGAGAATGTTCACTCTCCTCTTGTCGCCCCGCCAGCTCAGATGCCACAGAGTTTAGCTCCCTCTGCAAACAGACAAAAGAACAGCGCCGAGGTGAGCGAAACAAAGTGGAAAGAGAAGACAATTCAACCCGTCAAGCCTCGTCCAATAAAGAGCGTGCATAAATCTGCAATGCAATATCAAAAGAGAGTTAATATTACTATTGTAATAATGATCATATAGCACTATGAATACTTACAGGCAGCCCTTGCCCATAAATAATTAACCGAAATAAATCCAATGCCTACAGTAGCACAAGGCCTTTTAGATAATCAGTATTTGAAATAATCAATATACTTGCAACCACTACAGAGCAAAAGCCAGTGAGGGGCTCGGCGGAAAAGAGGGGTTGGGTGGTGGTGGTGTCGTGTTTGTGGGTGTGTGTGCGTCTGTGTTGGGGGCGTAGAGTCATGTGTAAAAACCCAATAACCTGACAAATACCCTTATCAAGAAATAAATCTTACTCTTCAACTGAAGGACTGTTTCAAAGCCCAACCAAGCCCTACTTTAGACAGTCCACCAATATGCTACCGCAACGCAAATACCAATACAAAATGCTCAATTCTATGTCAGATCTATTTTCATCTCTTACCCACCAATCTTTATATTGGTTGGGAACAGATTTTCAATAGCCGGTAGCCACTCCCTTTTGCTTTGCCAACTTAGCCTTTAGCTACAACTGCCCTTGCAATAGATATTTCATTATTGTCTCTGCACATCGCTTGTGTACATGTCAGTGTTATAGGAAATGAGCGCTCTACCCAGGCTACATGTCTGATCCACTATTTGGAGCTGTCTGTGCAGCAGGCCCTTCATCAGAACCTTGCATTCATCCTGGACTCGGCTGCCCCACACGCCATGCGCAAATCCAATATTATCGATCAGTCATCCAATTCCAGGCTCTTTCAGCAAAGTACAAAAAAAAAAAAAGGCGAATCTAAAGTCTACTCCCCTATACTGAGTATCGACTGAACAGACAGCTGTATGTTCACCTTCATTTTTAACTGTGATTCATTAGAACTGATGATGAACTTTTCTTGTTACTATGGGGGTGCAATTGGAAAGTGGAGTAAGGGATTCTATTAACTTTAAATTTATATATGAAGCCAGGATAATAAATTGACTGTATTTTAATTAATAAATCCGCAGTCTTACTTAAAGGCAATTTAATAAATCATCACACAAGGAAAAAGAGAAGAAAAGGACGGGATGAGACTTGAACCTCAGCAGCCTCGTGGGATAGGAGCAGACTGTCGGTCAGCGCTGTTAATTGAAGGGCTACTGGTTCAAGTCCCTGGACTGACAAGTCACTGAGCAACTTGGAGGACTTCAATATCACACGACTGCTTTTAACTTAAGTTGTCACAACTTGTCAAGCGAGTTTTTGGAGGCCTCTAGCGACTGCTGCGACTGCGTACAATGCCATTTTGTGGATTTTTTTTTTTGCATTTCGTACGAAAAAGGACCACTGTTGTGCATGATGTCACACGTGACTTTACAAGAGCAAATTTCAGTGAGAAGAAGTAGGAAGCCAAGAAGAAGACAAAAGACAGCATAAAGTGGACTGTGTGTGACATCGGAGGCTCGAATGGACATGCTTCAAATGCATGATTTTGGCCATTACTGGAAAGTTGAATCGTAGCTACAGTAAAAGTGACCAAGGCCATAAAGTATAAGAGAACAAGATTTTTATAAGTTTCTGGTAAGTTACTACACCCCATCTGGGATGAGCTTGCCTGAAGATTAGCGAGTCTTTCAGAAAGTAGCCAACCTTCTCTGGATTCCACTGGACCCAGACCAACTAATCTTGCCAAATGTAAATTTCTCAGGAAGTGACTGAGTGGATTTTACAAGCACTTTAGATCGAACAGTGAGATGATTTCAGTCCGCCAGTGCTTCAGTGGCCTCATAAGAATATTAGTGGCTTCGCCATTTGATAGATAATGATGAATAGTTACACTTTATGGTCAAAAAGTGCAATGACGATACTATGGCTGTTTGGCAAGCTGCCTGTAGTTTTTGTAGATCATTAGAAAGTAAAGGAGCCGGTATAACAACCCATCAAATGAAACTTCTGAGTTTTTGTAAAGAAGTAAGAAGCAGAACTGTTGCTTGATCTACTTTCTGTTGAAGAGAGCAGTCTAGGTCAGGAATGGCAGAGGAAATGTCCAACAATAGATAGTACAGCAATTAGATGATATTCTGCATCTTGCCTTATACTGTTTTAATTAAAATAATCCTTTATTATGACATTTCTTTGTTGGTCCCAATAGAGGGGATTATAGAAATGATGGTCCTTGTGATGATAAGAAGTTCAGATAATGGATGGATGAATGATAAAAAACATAAATAAATAATGTGTTACGGTCAAATTTGCTGCCACCCGGAGACAGCATTCCCGCGATCCCACCGAGGATAAGCAATTTGGGAAAATGAATGAATGAATGAATGATAAAGGGGCAAATTAATTTTATAATTTTTGAGCATTCAGACTCTGTGCAACAAAATGACTCCTTTAGTATCAATCTGTCCAGTACATTTCATTCATTGTCCAGGATTATTGGCATTTACAAGTAACAATGATTAACGGCACTCTTCCCAATGTTGTGGTGCATCACAAAAATAATCCAAAGTGAACGGCAAGTATCAGAAAAGCCAAACCTTGAAAACATCTTTTAACATGATTTCATAGGCCGTTTAGATGTGCTGCATTGACAGCACAAGTGTTCCTGTAAATATGTTGGGACATTATTAAGACCTGATGGTGAGAAATAACTCTAATATAAAAATAACAATAATAACATGAATAATAATAATAATAATAACTTTCAAGTGACCAAAGGCACTTGAACATGATGTTAATATTGATTGTAAATATTTTGTCCCTCGGCTCTCACCCCTGATCACGATCCCTTACACTCTGTGAGAAATTGCAGAATTTGTCACGAGCCTGTGTTAAGCAATAATGGGTTTCAATCGAACAAAATAGTTTGAAAAGACACACGCATGCTTCCAATTGTCTTTCAGGATGAAAAATGAATTCAACGGGCCATAAAATTATGAGTTTCTCTTTAATCATTTGACAGGTTTTAAAAAGGGCATGAGGGACCGAATTTTGAGTGTGTGGCAGTTGGGTCAATACAGAGATCCTGTCATTAAGCTTGTGCCAGTCAAACATCCAGCCATAATTGATGAATGTCCCCCTGGGAGAGGAGAAGCTGTCATCAGGGCTGAAGGGACAGCAAAGAGGCAATTTTTGCATGGATTCAAGTACTTGTGTCCTCGAGTCAATCTGTGAGAGATCGCTCAGTCACTTCTGACTCTGAAACAAAGACCAGGAAGCTTGAAGCTTATTGGCTTTAGTCAGATAGACCTGTTGCTCACTGGAAGTACGGAAACGGGCTTGAAGAGCAATGTGTCGCTGCATGCCATGTTGTAAGTTGAACCATCAGTCATGTGTCCTTTGCCTTCAAATGGAAGGGAAGCGTGTTTCTCGCAGACACTATTCAAAATAGATTTGCCTAGATTTCAATTTTGACCTTCTTTGAAATATATGTTTCAAAATTGAATTTTTGAAGATATGTTTTCAAATGTTTTGATTATGTTTCAATCAATTTCACACTGTTCAACAAGGTGATAGTGAGAAAAATAAGGAATATTTACTATAAGGTCAAGCTCATTGTTGTTGGGTTGTCGTTTTTTTCTTGGTGATCACTTGTTTTTTGTTTCTATTTAAAAAAAATGATTGTCATTTAAAACTGAAATGTTATGATAGTCCCAATTATTAAATTATTTAGCCGCAGGAATCCTCAGTTCCACGATCATGGAATTTGTCGCGGATTTCAAAGCTTTCCAAGGACTTAAAAGAAGTCCGTATTGGAAGGTGGCTCGGTACTGTTCATAGTCGCTCTCATTTTTTACAGCTTATGCATTGTTTTTCCCGGCTCCTTGTGACCAGGGGTTTTGTTTGTACTTTGTCAGTGCGCTTTTCTATAAAGAAATATTTTTGTTGTTGCATTTTGTTTGAGCCTGCTTTTTTGGGATCCAAAAACATTATTCGATTTGGTTCAGAACCTAACAAGGGCTAAAGGATTTCTTCTCCCACAGCTTTTGGTCTCACATATACACTATGGCAGCACATTATCACCACAGGTTGTGTTTCGTAGATCTGATCAGTGACGTCATTGATAGATCGTGCAAATTATGACAGAGTTGATGCATGAAATGCAAACGTCAACCAATTTCGATCAGATCGGTATAAAGTCTAATTGATGGGGCACCTCCTATATGAACGATCAGGCTCGAAGGATTATGACGTCAGAAAATCAAGTCAAGTGTAAGAGGTTTCACCTGGTATGATGGATATAGGTTTTGTCTCAGGTAATGATCTAATTTTAAAACAGGCAGAGGGGATAGTACATTTTTCTGCAAGTGGAAGAGTTTTAGGCAAACTATGTGATTCACTAATGAATTGCATAGAGGGGGGTTGACATTGATTCATTAAAGTAGGTTCGCCTTGATTACATCTGTAGTAGTAAGCTTTTTGGGAGCATCTCACAGAGACAAAGCATAGTGGAAAATGTTGACAAGTGAGGAAAAAAAAAATTCCACCAAGGTATTGCGCTGAGGTGGGCTAAGTTAAAATCACTATTGTACGCATGGCTTGGACAGCACAAATTAAAGACAGAAAAAGGAGAGGAGGAGGAGGAGGAGGAGGAGGAGGAGAAGAGAAAACGCAGATGTGGTATTATTTTTCTTTTTGTATCCCATCTAATTGCAATCATAGGCAGATGTTGGAAAGTGTGACAGCATCAGCAGAATTGCTGCTGAGAGCACAGAATCTTTGTCTAAAAATAATCAGACATTCTGTGTGCTGCTGTTTGTTATAATGGTAATCGATGCTGGAGGCTTTGAATTCCATCAATTTATAGATCCACTCTGTTCTGCCTGGTGACTGTACTGCTTCACAACCCCCACCGCACCGAGACCGAACACACAAACACACGCACACAACTGCATGTAAGG